TATATATATAGAAAAAGGAACAGAATTGTAAGTCCTATATCAAGAAAAAGCACAGGCTGTTCTTAAAGAATAAGTTCAGCTTTAAAGTGACCCTACTCCACACTTTTGGGTGTGCGAATACCTGCTCCACAGTGAGCGGCGCGCGCGGGGGGTGGGGTGTTTTCATGCAGTCGGAGAGTCAAACACCTGCAGCGGCTGGGAAGTGGCTGGCAGCATTTATAGGACATGGGATAACGAAAAGGTAGGTATACATGCCTTTGTTTTGCAAGCTGGGGTTAGTTTTAAAAGCAACCATGTGGTAAAGGTATTATCTAAATTCTCCCATGGCCATTCTCATCCGCAACAATTCACAATCCGCAACTGGTGAAGTATCCTCTCACTTCTTGTTGTATCCCTAGGACAGGAATCAAGGCAAAACTCTCCAGCACGACCTGGCAGGGGTTTTAGTTATTCCCTACGCTATTTAAAGCAAAAATAAAAAGTACTGACTCTAGAAACATTTTAAGTGCTGGCATGGGAGCCAAGATGTACAGTAGATATATTGGTAAACGTATCAGTGTTATAAGAAAAAAGATGAGTTTGTTTTGTTAGTAATATTTCAGATGATAAAGTATAATAGCTGAGCCAGGTTCTGCTTTAGGCAGAATTGATAGAATTTTGCTCTGTAGTAGAGTCCTTCACCTCATCGACTTTCTAAGTTGTCTACCTAATTAATTTTCCTCTTGACTTAAAGGATCTTTATAATCCGTCCACTTACTGCTCTCAGTCTACATGCTCACAGCCGACTCATTGGTGCCATCTGAACCTCTAAAGCCTCAAAATGTCCCTTACCTTTTTGTGGTAAAAAAGGTAAGGACCCCAAAAGACCAATTTACTGATAGGGATCAGGGAAGATGTGTTGCAATTACACCAACCCAGTAATAAAGAACGTGAGAGACGATAACACCGTAGCATGTGGTCTGCCTTCTCACAGCCATCCAACTCTAATGATACCAGCAAAATAATGAAACACAAAGTCCAACCGCACACCTGCCACCTCAGAGTCCTCCACCCCATAATATAGATAGCCCAACATTATAGATGGCACAACATTGGGCGCACCAGTGGTGAATTAATAAATGTTGCACCCACAAGTATTCCATAACGGCAACCTTTGCTATGTAATCATTAAACCAGTTTTACTTTTATTGCACTATTTCACAACTGTTGCTGTGTTTGTATCTGAGCAGCTTGGAAGTTCCATTTCCTGCCCTGTACCTGACTGCTGTTTGCCCTGTTGACCGTGATAAGCCTGTCTGGAATACTTGTGAGCGCAACATTTCTTCATACATTACCTTTGTGTCATCATAGTCAATGCATTAGTGGTGCATCCGATGCCATGTTCCTTTTCTATCCACTCAATGATATCAGCCAGCAGATTGGCTGGTTACAATGCTGCGGACCGGAATACAGGAGCGGGTTGCGCAAATTGGCAGTGTGGATTTTTGTTTGCTTATCTCTAATTAGAACAGTAATAAACACAATTGTACAACCTGAACAGGCATGCTGGTGTAAATGGAGGAAGGAGATGGGAGAACAGTCCGAATGCCAAATGCAGAATTTTCCAAGTAAGCCTATCCATTATTCTCCTAAGGATGATCATCCAGGTTCCCCTGCTGCATCCATTGATACTTAAAGCCAAAATAAAGCCCTCTCCCCCCCCAATCTCTTTATAGTTGTGTACCCCTGCATGTTAAGATTTGTGAAAATGTTTTCTTGGAAATGGCTAGAAATACCAGTTTCTCTCAGTGAAAAATGTTTCTTCCTACCTTCACATTGTAGAGCTCTGTTCTGGCAGAGCTGAGTAACAGCCACCTTCCTCAGTATAAGTATCTTTGCACATAAGGGAAGGGGGGGTTATACCAGTCCTGTTTCTGATTGATGTTATTTGAGAGCACAAAGTCCAATTCTAGTGCCTGTTGAACTGCACTGTCATATTTGGACCCCCCGCACAACTGCTTTAACAGGAAAGTGGAGAAAAGAGTATGGCAATGGAAGTTGTTTGTGCAATGTCCCTCTAACTGCAAACATATTTCTGTGACTTTACTTAGGCTTCAGTGGACAACGTAACCTTTAACTACATTGGGGGGAATTTATCAAAACTGGAGCAGACAAAATCTGGAGCAGATTTGCACTACAGCCAATCAGCTTCTCTTTCTCATTTTCATATCTTACCTGAGCAAACTGAAGAGAGATGCTGAATGGTTGCCATGGGCAACTGCTCCAGATTCTGTCTGTTCCAGTTTTGATCAATTCCCTCCATTGTCCTTTAAAAACATTATGCTTTCCTGGGTGACATATAGAGACAACAGCATCTTACCTTCCAGTTCTTCTCAGTTTCCTGCAAGAACACAAGGCCTTTTTCTATATCTGCCCTCATTTCATGGACATGAGCTATGGTGTGGACAGACCAGGCGTCCTTCCGTTCTACAGCCAGCGCCTAGGCACACACAAGACAAACAGCATTGGCTTAAAACTAAGAACAATACACAGATAGGGAAACAAGAACAGATACACTGAAGGGGGGGGGGGGGTTTACTTTAAAGA